CCCGTCAGGCGGCGGCGCCTCCCTGCAGGGCAGGCGCCGGGCCCCTCCAGGGCCGGGCCGCCTGCGGCGACGTTCGCCTCGCCGGGCGCGCGCGCCCCCGCGGGCCGCTTCACGGCGGGCGCCGAGCGCGCCCCTGCCGGAGGCAGCGCTCGCAGGGCGGCCAGGGCCTCGCGGGCGTCGGCCATCGGCTTCCGGGCGGCGGCGGAGGCAGGGGCGAACGGCCCATCGAGCGCAGTGGCGTAGCGATCGCCTGCCCGCCTGGCACGGCCGGGGCCCCTGGCGGACGAGCGCAGGGGCGCGTCGTCCGCGTGCGCCGGGATATCGCCAAGGGACCCGCCGCCCCGCCTCGCGCGCGGGCTGGGGCCCCCGCAGCCGCCCTCTCGCATCGATCGATCACGGGCGTTTTTTTCATCTCGTGGGGGGTCTGCGGAATGGCGTCGGCCATTTGGTTAGCGCGTCTAGGCACCTCTCATCGGGGAGGAAGGCTGGGCAACTGCGCTGGGGGGCGCCGGCGCGTGGATGTGCGAAGAAGATCCGGCCCTGCGCGTACAGCGTGAGGTTCTCGTAGGATACGTCTTCCCCGCGGCGCATGCGCTCCTCGATGGCGAGCAATTCGCGGGCCTGCCGGACGGTCATGCGCTCCCTGTCGGCGATGGATGTCTTGCGCTCCCAGCAGAAGAACACGGGGAATGCATTCGCGTCGCTGAGGCGCACGACCATGGTCGACCCGTGAATTTTCTTGAATTCCTGCGCTCGCCGCCACAAATCCATAGGGACCGGCCTGGCTGCATTCGCGTCGTACTTCTCCTTCGAGAAAGACCCGGCTGTGGTGGCTGGTGCTGCTCGTGTCCTGGTACTGTGTACTGTGCTGGATGCCGACGTGGTGCGCGACTCCGTCGTGGTGTACGCCCTGGTAATGCTCGACTCCGTGGATGCCGACATGGTGCACGACTCCGTCGTGGTGTACGCCGCGGCACTGCTCGACTCCGCAGTCCCGCTGGTCTCCGTAGTGCTGGACGCCGACGTGGTGCGCGACTCCATCGCGGCGTGCGCCGTGGTACTGCTCGACTCCGTGGTGCCGCTCGTCTCCGTAGTGCTGGATGCCGACGTGGCGCTCCGCAAACGCGTTCTCAGGGGGGCGACGACCACGACGAGGACAACGAGGAGGGCAGGATGAGGAAGAGGATGAGGGGAGGAGCAGGAGAGGAGGAGGGGGATGACGACGAGCAGGAGGACATGAGACGGAGGAGGGGGGCGACGACGACGAGCAAGGAGGATGAGGAGGGGAAGAGCAGGAGAGACGAGAGCAGAGGGGGGGGGAGGGAGGAAGGAGGGGGGGAGAGGGGGAGCAGGGGTCGGAGGACGAGGACGAGAAGGAGGAGCAGGAGGGAGGCAGATTGAAGGAGGGGGGAGAGAGGAGGGAGGAGGAGGGAGGGAGGAGGGAGGGGGGAGGCAGGGGGAGAGACCGGAACCGTGTCCTGGCACTGCTCGTCTCCGTAGTGCGGGATGCCGCCGTGGTGCGCGAAGGTGAAGGCGCGGTTGCACAAGGCCGCGAAGTTCTCCAGCTCGCCTTCCAAACCTGTCGGCGCGCCGTGGCCCTCCGTAGCCGGCCGCGCGGTGCCGTTGGCGTCCCCGATGAAATCGTGCATGTGACCCTCCGTCGCCTGCCACTTGGCGCCGTTGGTGTCCTCGAAGTTGCGCTTGTACAGGTGCTCCAAGCCCTCCAGATCGCCCTCCAAGCCTGCGGATGCGCCGCAGCCGTGCGTGACCGCCAAGTCCGCGAACGGCGGCAGGAGCAGCTGGGAACCCTCCTCTGTTGCAGCGATGGAGTACTCCTCCGCCGCCCGGAGCTGCAGCCTCTCCCTGCGCTGGCCGCGGCGGACGAGCAGCGCCCCCGCAGCCGCGTTCGCGCAGGCGCAGCAGGCGGCAGCCATGCGCAGGGCGAGGCACGGGACAGCCATGGGAGGAAGAAAGAAGGGACGGGCCGGCGGAAGAACGAGAGGGGGGAGGACGGACTGGCGGCCGTTAGGCGGGCAAGCCACGCCCAGGCGGAGAGCTAGGAGGGTCAACCTCTTCAAATGCTCTCGGGCCTGCCGTCGCGGTGAAAGTGCGGAAATGACGCCGGCGCGAATAGTGATGTTAATGGTGGGGGTGGTGTGTGTGTGTGGGGGGTGATCGTGTTGTCGGTGACGTTGGTGATATTGGTTGTGATGATGGTCGTGGTCAGACTGGGTGGTCATTCGCGCGCCGCTTCGTCCAATAATGTGGGGACAGGGAACAACATGCCCGTAAATGCACTGAAGCCTTTCCGAAGCCCCTCAGAAGCCTCTCAGCAGCCTCTCAGAAGCCTCTCAGCAGCCTCTCAGCAGCATCTCAGAAGCCTCTCAGAAGCTTCTCAGAAGCATCTCAGAAGCCTGTCAGAAGCCTCTCAGCAGCCTCTCAGAAGCCTCTCAGAAGCCTCTCAGAAGCCTCTCAGAAGCCTTTCAGACGCCTCTCATCAGCTTCTCAGCAGCCTCTCAGAAGCCTCTCGGAAGCATGTCAGAAGCCTTTCAGAAGCCTCTCAGAAGCCTCTCAGAAGCCTCTCAGAAGCCTCTCAGCAGCCTCTCAGAAGCCTATCAGAAGCCTTTCAGAAGCCTTTCAGATGCCTCTCAGCAGCCTCTCAGATGCCTCTCAGCAGCCTCTCAGTAGCCTCGCAGAAGCCTCTCAGAAGCCTCTCAGGAGCCTCTCAGAAGCATCTCAGAAGCTTCTCAGAAGCCTCTCAGAAGCGTCTCAGAAGCTTCTCAGAAGTCTCTCAGCAGCCTCTCAACAGCCTCTCAGCAGCCTCTCAGCAGCCTCTCAGCAGCCTCTCAGCAGCCTCGCAGAAGCCTCTCAGAAGCCTCTCAGGCGCCTCTCACAGATTCTACCGGGGAATCAAACCGGGGAAGGGTTGTGCCGGGGAGTGTCAGATTTCCCCCGGAAGTCCGATTTTACCGGGGATTTTGTTTTGCCCCTGGCGCAGACCCTCTCCATCAGAACATCATCTTTTTTAGATACTTACATTTGTTTGGCAGTTCCCCTCCAAATTTTAGGAAAGAATGATGTCGCTCTGGAAGCGCACTTTTAAATTTTAGTGCGCGATGCAAAACCACCAAAATTTAGATGTTTTGGGTTGCGTGTCCACATGCACATGAACGCGCAGCACATGGGAACACGCGCGCGCACGCATTTGGAGATAGTTTATCGGGTTGGCCTGTCAATTTGGTGATCCGCAACCGTTGGCTCTAATCAGCCGCGCGAGCCGGTGGTTCGCCCTTCCATGGGATGGGCGAGGGCCGCCGCTGCTGGCGCCGGTGGCTTGGCACAACTGGGCAGCCTGTGGCACGGCCAGCGCTGTACTTGCCAGGTGGAGCTGGGAGACGGGTTCGCTGTGGACCGTGAGCTGCTGCGTCTGCTCGAGGGGCAGCTGCAGAGGTGCGGGCCCGCGAACCTCACGTTGCCGGCGCCGTGCCCGCCGCCCGAGTGCTCGGGCTTTCCTGGGCTGGTGGTCTTCTTGGTGGCGGTGCTGGCCTTCCTGGCAGGGTTCGCCGCTGCTGCCTCCTGCGGCTGGTGGTGCCTGAGGCGCTCGGAGGGTCGTGCCACGCCTGAGGGCTCAGGGACTCCTTGCCTGACCGACGGAGGCGATGTTAGATCAGCTTCGTCAGGGCCAGCGAGTGCTCGTCTCCTACGACGAGGACCCGCGTGAGCTGTTGTGGCATGAGCGTCTTCTGTGCGCGCACGTGCACGAGGGTTCCTGGGTGGTGACCACCCCCGAGAGAGACATGTACCTCGAGGACCTCCAGGAGGACGTCGAGAGCCTGGTGTTGCTGGGGCCGATGGGAGGCCTGCCAATCGGCTGGAACCGTGGGCCCACGCACCTGTTCAGGAACTCGCCCCAGGGTCCGTTGCACCGTGAGGAGAGCCTGCGGCTCCAGGCGGAGGGCGCGGAGCTGGCCTCGCAGGAGAGGCGCGACCTGGGCCTGGCCGCTTCTCCGCCGCTGCCGCCGCCCACTGGCGCGCCTCCGCCGCTGGCTCTGGAGGGCGTGCCGAGCGCGGGCGAGGGAGGATGGCGGTACTCGGAGAACCGTGGAGGCGCTAGGCTGGGCGAGCGTGTCGGCGACGCGGAGCTGGAGGCAGGCTGCCAGCGAGGGGATCGTGGAGTGGCCCTCGTGGGCGACGTCTTCGTGTCCTGCGCTTTCTTCAGGCCGGGCCAGCAGATGCCTACGCCTAGGGAGGGAGGAGCGGCTGAGCCTGCGTCCAACGAGCTGCGCACCCTCCCCGTGAAGTACGAGACTGCCAGCCAGAGGCACCTCCTACAAGGAGGCGGCGTCGCTGACCACGACGACGGCCTTCGAGGACTGGCCAATCAGCGGCCCTAGGACGGCGGAGTGGCTGGCACGTGAGATCGCTCGACAGGAGCTCACTCCCGTGCGCCGCCATTTCTGGTGGAGACAGCTGCTAGGCTGGGGCCCCAGTGACTGGGGCGTCGGGGAGCACGAGTCTTTGAGCCGGCTCTTCGAGTACGCTCTGACTTACGACCAGCTAAACTTCGGGGAGCTTGCGTCGCTGGAGCTGGCGGGCAGGCGCTACCAGCTGCTCGGGGAGAGGTGCGCCCGCATGCTCATCGCGGCAACGGCGGGCGGCGACAGCGGCCACCTCGACAACGACAGGCTGTTCATGGGCGAGGAGGGCCGCCATGGCCGTGCTCTCGTGGCGCCTGCTCTAGAGTCTTGGATTTCCCAGAAGCTGTCCGAGGAGAGCGCGGTGCTCAAGGAGCGCCGCAAAGCGAAGGAGGAGCGGCAGCTGGCCCGCTCGACCGATGCTGCTCCAGGTGCTGGAAGCGGCAAGAACGACGAGAAGCCCCCCAGGCGCCCGAAGAAAAATGGTGGCGGGCCGGGGGGTGACGCCGCTTGAGCTGCCACGGGCGGCGGAGGCCCCCGGCCGCCGCCCATTCTGCAGAGGGGAGGGCTGCCCGCGTGAGGAGGATGGCGGGCCGCCTCGGTGTTGCAGGTGAAGGCCTAGACTGGGCTCGGGACTTGCTGCCTCTGCCATCTGGACGCTGCCTGGCTGATCTCCTGGAGGGGCTCTCGCCAGCTGGCCTGGGTGCGTCGCGCTGTGCGGATCGGCGGCGCTCGCGCCGACGGGCTGCAGAGGCGCGGCTGCAGGGCGGCATCTCGACGCTCAACGTGCTGGGCGGCCGCGGCGAGGAGTGGGGCCCCAAAGTGCTGCCTGGTGCTATCCAGCGCCAGGCTGTGGCCAGCTTGGCCCGGGCCTACTTTGCCATGCCGCCGCCGCCCGACGACCTCACCGCCTCGGGAGCGTGGTCTGCGCTTCGGGGCTGCGGTTCCGGCTGCGCCGTCGCAGGCGTTGTCGCCGGAGAGTTCGCGACCTACCAGCGCGGCAGGCTTGCCCTGCCAGCGGTCGGTAACCAGGCGATCGACCTCGTCAGTTGCCTGCCCGACCACTACCAGAAGTTGCTGGAGGATAGTGGCCGCGCTATTCGGCTACCAGCAGTGTGTACAAAGGACGTGGCGGCAGAGGTGGACGAGTTGGGCCCTGCGATGGATCCCATCCTGGCTAGGTCGCCCAGCAAGTGCACCGAGTTTTTGATGTCTGCATTCGAATCGGGTGTCGTCGAGCCGGCGACTGAGGTTCGCAGTTTTGTGGGAGTCTTCTTTGTGCGTAAGAAGGACGGCTTGTTCCGGATCATCTTCGACCCTCGGAAGACAAACTCGCAGTTTGTACCTCCAGATAGTGTTGCTCTGGCGTCTCCTGAGGCCCTGGGTGATCTGGAGTTGCCTGCAGGCCAGCGGTTGTGGGTCAGTGAGGGCGATGTCGAGAACTGCTACTACCAGTTCCTGCTGCCTGACGACCTGAGGGCCGACTTCGTGTTGCCTGCGGTGCTTCGGAAGCTGCTGCCGCGGAGTCTGCGCCGCCTGTTTCCGCCCGGGCACGACTTCGTTCACTTTCAGGTGCGCGTGGTGCCGATGGGCTGGAGCTGGGCCGTGGCGCTGGTGCAGGCGGCGAACGGGGAGCTGCTGCGAGCTGGTCCGCAAGGGGCCCGCCGCTGGATCTGCAATCGCCGCTGCGCGCCGGCTGTCGCCGGTCGTGAGCCCGGTGCTCTCCTGTACATCGACAACTTCGCCTCGCTGGGGACCGTAAAGGAGACAGTCCAGCTTGACGGTGACTCGATGGAGAGGCAGCTGAGGGGCCGTGGTCTGACTACTCACGACATCTCGGGGCCGCAAGTTGACGTGGACCTGCTCGGGTTCCACATCGACGGGGTGAAGGGGGCGATTCGCATCGCGCCCGAGCGGTTCTGGAGGCTGGTCATGAGTCTGGACTACATCCTGAAGCATCCCCTCCTGACGGGAGCCGAGCTAGAGCGGCTGATCGGGCATTTGACGTACGTGCTGCTGCCACGACGCGAGGTGCTCAGCTTGCTCAGTGCGTTCTACGTCTTTGTCGGCAAGTGCTACTCTCGGCGCGTGCGGCTCTGGCCTTCGGTGCGCCGAGAGCTGACCTGGGTGCGAGCGCTGCTGCCGCTGGTGTGGGCGGATCTGCGCGGCGCATGGGCCCCCAGCGTGATGGCCGTGGACGCCTCGATGACTGGCTTGGGCGCGGTGGAGCGCTCCGCGGACCCACACGACGTCGGGCGCATCGGCCGAGTTAGAGAACGCTGGAGGTTCAAGGAGCGCGAGCTGGTGGCCGAGGGCTCGCGTGCACGCGCCTTGCGTGAGGGGGCCGTCGGCGACTCCCCGCTCCCCGACGTGCCGTCGGACTTCTGCAAGGCCACCTCGTGGAAGACCGTAGCCTCGAGACGGTGGCGCCACCGTGCCCCCATCCACCTTCTGGAGGGCGAGGCGTTGCTGTGGGCCATGCGGCGGCAGGTGCGGCGAGTGGCGCATCATGGGTGCAGGCTTCTATTTTTGTCAGACAGCCTGTGTATTTGCTGTGCAGTTGCAAAAAGGAAGAGCCTCGGATTTCCCCATCCTCGCCCAGTTGAGACACTTCACAGCTCTTCAGCTCGCATCGTCTTGTCGTGTGTCAGTGCGATGGATCCCTTCAGAGTGGAACCCCGCCGACGGTCCTTCAAGGCGGTTCGAGCCTCGCCGTTTGCGGGGCGATGGAGCGCCGTCGGCTCGTGGCGGCCGCGCCGAGTGCGCAGCCGCTGCCTGCTCCGAGTGCGCCGGCGATCGGCCATGGGCGGAAGCGCCTCCTGGGCTCGTCGGGCCGCGCGCGCTCGGGTCAGGCGAGGGCCAGTGCCAGACGCCCCCGGCCCGCTGCCGCGACCCAGAGGTCGACTGCCTTGCCGTGGCACCGCCTCCTGGGCTCGAGCGTGTCAGGACTGGAGCTGGAAGCGGTGAGGCCCTCTACCCAGCAGAACTACCTGAAGTGCCTCAGTGGCCTCTGCAACTGGCTCGGAGTGGAGACGCTGCCCAGCTGGAGCGCGCTGGAGTGGGACGACGCCCTGCTGCAGTACCTGAACGACGAGTTCGCGCAGGGAGGGCGGCCGAACAGGGCTGCGAAGCTGCTGTCGGCGGTGCTCTGGGCGCGACCGGCGCTGGGGCGGCCCCTGCGGGTGGTGCTGCCAAGGAGCAGCCGGGCGCTGCTGGGCTGGAAGCGCAAGCGGCCCGGCCACTCGCCCCCCGCTCCCGTGGCTGGTGCTCTGCGGCGTGCTGGAGCTCCTGCTGCTGAAGCAGGAGGTGGCGATGGCGTGCGCTCTCTGCCTCACGTTCCACTGCTACCTTCGGCCCGGAGAGCTCCTGGCGATGAAGGCTTTTCAGCTGGTGCCGCCTGCGGCCGGGCTGCGGGGCGGATTTCGCTGGTGGACGCCGCTGCTTCATCCCGAGGAGCTGCTGGTGCCCAGCAAGACAGGCGAGCTGGACGACCCCCTGCCGCTCGACGCGCCCGAGCTCCAATGGCTTGCCCCCGCGCTCAGGGATCTCAAGGCGCGGCTGGAGCCCCGCGAGCCGCTGTGGAGTTTCGGCTACGCGCAGCTGCGCGAGGAGCTCGAGAACGCGCTGGCGGTGCTGGGACTTCAAAGCCTCGGTGCCACGCTGTACTGCCTACGGCACGGAGGAGCAAGCCACGATCGGATCGTGGGAAGGAGGTCACTCGAGGAGGTGGCCAAGCGAGGCAGGTGGCGAGCTCGCCTGTCCGTGCGGAGGTACGAGAAGCACGGCCGCCTGGCGCTGCAAGTGGCGAAGGTGCCGCCCGTGGTGCAGGAGCGGCTGCGACTCAGCATGCAGAGGCTGCCGCAGCTGTTCGCCAGCTGCTCAACGCGACGCTCCACAGAGTGCGCCTGGGGCGAGACAGGGTCGCCGTCGAGGTCTTCGCTGGGTCAGGCCGCCTCGCCTCGGCGCTTCGTGCCAGAGGAATCCCCACGGTCGAGTGGGACATCGTTCGAGGAGCGCAATTTGATCTCACCAAGGCGTCAAGTGTCGAAGTTCTGAAAGGATGGATTCTCAGTGGAGAGGTGAGCATCTTGTGGTTAGGAACCCCGTGCACTTCTTTCTCTTTGGCCCGTAGGTATACCAAGTCTGGGTCAGGACCTTTGAGGTCCAAAGAGTTTCCTCTTGGGCTGCCAGGCCTCTCAGGTCCCGATCAAATGCGAGTGCAGTTGGGTAACCGTTTGATGCATGTCTCTGTTGTGCTTGCTAAGCTAGCTCACACCAGAGGGATCCCTGGAGGGCTCGAGAATCCCGCCTTGTCTCGTCTTTGGCTGTGTCCGCCTGTGCTAGGTCTCTGTAGGCTCCCTAATGTTCATGATGTTTTCACGGATTTTTATATGTGGGGTGAGCCGTGGCGTAAACGAACCCGGCATCGCCTCTGGCACGTTTCTCCAGAGCTTCTTGGGCGAAAGTGCCACGGTAAAGGCACCTGTGAGAGGTCCCAGAGGCCTCGCCAAGTGCTTGAGGGCAAGGCCCCCGGTGGCCAGTTTTGGACAGCAGTAGCACAGCCTTACCCCAAGGAGCTGTGCAAGATTCTGGCCAAGTCTCTTGTAGATGCGTCAAATAATCGTAGGCTCTCTCGGTTGTGGGACATTTGTAAATGCTAGGCGGTATTGCCAGTGCACTAATGAATCTGGACGTGAATATGGCCCAGAGTTTTTTACTTGTTCGATGCTGCTGCGTTCTGTTGTCACTGTTGCCGATGCCTCGCCCCAGCGCCCTCTCAAGCTTGTGCTGGAGAAAAATAGAAGGCCTTGGAGATAGTTCATCGGGTTGGCCTGTCAATTTGGTGATCCGCAACCGTTGGCTCTAATCAGCCGCGCGAGCCGCCCGACCCTCCCTCCCTTCTCTGCTCTTCCGCCTTTCAATCCCACACGAATTCAGAATTCAACAGGCCCAGAGTTTTCTGCTTGTTCGATGCTGCTGCGTTCTGTTGTCACTGTTGCCGATGCCTCGCCCCAGCGCCCTCTCAAGCTTGTGCTGGAGAGAAATAGAAGGATATATATATATATATATATATATATATATATATATATATGCATTATTCCATATATACATATGTATGTATATATATATACACACATGTATGTGAAGAGCCCATCTGGCCTCACGCATGTTCCCCCGCGGCGCGGGGGTCGCGGACTTCGATGCGATGCGTCGGCAACGCGCGTTTCGGCGCACTTCCCGCGCATTTCGCCGCCCCTGGAAGCGAAGGGTCGCGCGGGGCCAGGGGCAGCATCCCAGAGTGGACTTTTTTGGCTCGAGCCAACGCATGCCCGGTGCGAAACAACGCCTTCAGCAGTTAAATCGTGAGCGAGATGTCGAGGTCGAGGTTGGCGGCCCTGTTTCGGCAGAGCCGCGGTCGAACGATTTTGCCAGATCCTGTTTTTTGTTGTGTATATATATATACATATATATATATATATATGCATGTATGTATGTATATATATATATATATATAAATATATAACTGAGTGCAAAAGGCGCTGTGGAAATGACCGATGGCGCTGATTCGCCCAAGCGCCCTGCCAGCTGGGGGGCCAATGCGTCGAGGAATGCGAGGAAAAAAACGTGCCAGATAATCGGGTCGCCCAGATGTTCGCGCCGCGGTTGGAAAATTCTGGGACGACAGAAAAGACAAGAATGACACAATGCATTTTTCGCTGCCGTGGGGGATTATTGAAACGGACGCCAGGCACAGTTCTGACTGGCCCCACATTGAACCAGATGCTCCTTTGCATTCGACGCGACAGACCTGGGCCAACGGCCGCGACATCATATTATCTGTGGAAGAGGTCGAGAACACCATGGTTTGGGGTATATGGGGAGATGCGGCACCGTTGTTGACCAGAGATTCCTTGTATCTCTTGCTTTACTCTGCCGTGTCTGGCAACGCGCATGCGCGCCATAGGTTTTGTGGCTGGGCGAAACGAATGACTTGCGACTGTAGCTGCCGAGGCAGACGCACATTTGACATTGTTTGGGTTGTGCTAGCTTGGGCGTTTCAGGTCATGCTTCCGGGACCCCATCCAACAGTTCGCCACGATGGTATACCCTATGCCGAGTCTGGTTTCAAAGGTGATCGAGATCGCGCTCGTCCTCAGGGGCCCCTTCGTACAAGAGGATGTTGTCTGCAAAAGCGTGGGGACTGGGCATGGCTGAAGCAGTGTCTGTTTCTCACAGGGCGCGGCTGCTGAAATTGCACCGCCCCCCTTCCCCCACGCATCTACCAATGGAAAGGCCCCTGAATCCCAGGGTTGGGGGCGAGTGCAATTCTGACGCCCAGGTTGGGGGGGGGGGGCAGACAAACTTGAGGCGCTGCTGGAAATGCCACGCTGAACGAGGACCGAAACTGCCCCTCACAGATGCCTCTGCAACGGCAGCATGGAGAACGACGATGCTCAACCACGAATAGTTCATGACTTGGGTTTCTGCTGACGGGCGCGAGCTCTCGCCAATTTTTGGCATCCCAGGATTTCCAATCGAGTATGCAGCGATCGACTTGACGCGCGTGCTAGACTTGGGTTGCCTACAAGTTCTATTGGGGAATGTTATGTTTGAGCTGTTTTTTTAACATGGGAGGCGCAGTGACGAATCCTGGCAGCACGATTTCTGATTTCAATGCGCTCGTGCACTGCGTTTCGAAGCAACTCGGCCAAGAAGCGCCCCCAGTGCAACTCCTAACAATCCTCATGATTAAGCAGTCAGGGAAACCACCGAGACTTCGAACCAAAGCAGCTGAGACACGATGTATGTGACCGTGCGTTCATAAGATTATGGAGACCCGCATCCCGCCAGAAAACAGGCGAGAGAAACTCATGGTGGACTCCGTGGCGATGATGCAACATATTTATGCCGAGCTGTACTCATGGGACGGCTCGTCGTCACCCGCTAAGGTTGCGCGGTCTGGACGGTGTGACAATGCTCTGTATTCAGATCTTGGTCGGATGACGCGCGACGAGGTCCCTGGGGTCAGCTATGGGCCGTTTAAGTTCTACCCAAAGAACCATCTCCTGATTCATTGCCTGGAAGACCAGGTAGGCGCATTCGTGGGCCCGATAAGAAATTGGAACTACCAGGATGAATCCGCCATCGGCGACGCGGTTGAAGTTGCAGAAGCATCATGCCCCAATTGGCTCCACCGCTCGATCGTGGAGATGGACCCCGCAAGCAATCCCGACGAGACGAAAAGAATCCCCCAAGTCTCGGGGCCTGCCCAAGCGAGAACCCCGTTTTGAAACAGGAGCCGCCCTCAACTTCATCCTCTGTGCCCTCTCTGGCCCCCCCCCCAGCCCCTAGAGGCCTCGGGCGCCGCCTCTCGCGGCGCCCCCCCCCCCCCTCCCCCCCCCCCCCCCCCACACACACACACACAACACACACACCCCACCCCCACCCACGCCCACGCACGCCCACACACACACACGCACACACACACACACACACACACACACACACACACACACACACACACACACACACACACACACACACCACACACACACACACACACACACACACCACACACACACACACACACGCACACACACACACACACACACACACGCACGCACACACGCACGCACGCACACGCACACACACACACACACACACACACACACACACACACACACACACACACACACACACACACACACACACACACACACACACACACACACACACACACACAACACACACACACACACACGCACACACACACACACACACACACACACACACACACACACACACACACACACACACGCGCCACCGCCCCGAGTCCTTCCAGAGCGCCCCGTGGGGAACTCAAGCGAGAACTCCGTTTTGAAACAAGAGCCGCCCTCAACCTCAGCCTCTGCGCTCTCGCTGCCCCCCCCCCCCCCCCCCCCCTGGCCCTCAGAGGCCTCGGGCCCCGCCTCTCGCCGCGCCCCCCCCCCCTTCCCCCCCCCAAAAAAAAAAAACCTTCCAGAGCCCCCCGTGGGGAACTCGAGCGAGAACCCCGTTTTGAAGCAGGGGCCGCCCTAGACCTCGGCCTCCGTGCCGTCTCTGGCCCCCCTCCCTCCGTCTCGCCCCCTCTGGGGTGTCTCGAGATGCAGCCCGCGGCAGACTGTATGAATGGACATGGGAGAGAGAGAGAGAGAGAGAGAGAGAGAGAGAGAGAGAGAGAGAGAGAGAGAGAGAGAGAGAGGGAGAGAGAGAGAGATAAAAAAGAAAAGAGGGAGAGAGAGAGAGAGAGAGAGAGAGACGAAAGAGAGAGAGAGAGAGAAACATTTTTTTTAATAGTTTTTTTTTTATAAAAAAAAGAAGAAAAATAAAACTTGGCGAATAACCCAACCATATGCAGTTGTCAGTGCCGCAGCTGCGGGTTTCATCTTCAGTGGAACTCCCCATAGGACCACGGAGCGTGTGAGGGGTGCGCCGAGATGGGTGCCACTGGGGCATTCGGTGAGGCTCCCTATGGGGACATGAAACACGCGCGGGGCGTGCCGACATGGGTGGCGGAAGCGCATGTGAGGGCCGCCGCTGGGGCCTCCATTGGAGCTCCCGATGGGTCCCCGAAACACGATGCTGCTGCGGGGGGGGGGGGGGGGGGGGGGGGGGGGGCGGGGGCGGAGACGCATGTAAGCGCCGCTACTGGGGCCTTCGGTGGAGCTCCCTAGGGGCCACGAAACGCGTGAGGCGTGTACTGGGATGTGTGGCGGGGACGCATGTGAGCGCCGCCGCTGGCGCCTTCGGTGGAGCTCCCTATGGGGCCACGAAACGTGTGAGGGGTGTGCCGAATTGGGTGCGGGTGGCGAAGCATGCGGGCGGTGCCACTGGGGCCTTCGGTGGGGCTCTCTATGGGGCCACGGAACCTGTTGTTGTGACGGGCGTGCCGGGATGGGTGGCGGGGGCGCATGTGAGCGCGGCGGCTGGGGCCTTCGGTGGAGCTCCCTATGGGGGCACGCAACGTGTGAAGGGTGTGCCGAAATTTGTGTGCGGGACACATGCGGGCGGCAGCG